ATAAATGCATTGTACTTTTTCCTTTCCCTATTTTGAACTTCTTTTTCATTTTTTTTCTCTCTCTATCTTTATCTCACCACCAGAGACCAACGTCGACGAGGACACCATTATTAGCAAAGAAAATCCCCGAGGTTCTCTCCCCCCGAAGCCAAGGATTCTCTTCGGCATCATTTTGAGTGGGTCTGTGACAGGCACACTGACCGTCACTTCGAACATTGACATTGACATCAGTATTGGCTCGTCATCTGGGTCTACCGGAACCTCAACCACTAATACCAATACAAATACTAATACCAATAACAACAATAATAATAACAATAACAATAATGGTGGTAGCAGTAGTAGTAGTTCTTCTGGGAATAACAATAACAATTATAATAATAACAATAATAACAATAATAACAACAACAATAACAACAATAATAACAATAACAATAACAATGGTTAACTTTAAAAAGAAAGAAATTCTGCAATTTTCTAATCAAGAAAGTATTGATGAGATTAGACATTGCTTTGAAATCCAAAAATTAATTGATATGTGTATTTTTATTACCACCTTTATGAATGTATAATTACTAACCATCTTATTTAAATTGGATGCTTACACTCAGACCTGTAAGAATTATGATGATGTAATATTATACATATTAATTGGATGAATGGATTATTAAAATGGAAATGAATCAAGGGTGATTTAATATACACCTTTCTTGAGGACAACTGAATCAGTGACAAGGAAATGCCTCAAAATGAAACGCTTGTTCTTAAATGAATGTCTGTTGTTCACTCACCAAGATTAGAACTACCAGTAGGTATAATGTACATTGTAAAAATTTTTGCAGTCAACTCACACATGATATATGTACTTTTAAGTAATAATTTAGAACAAGGTGAAAATGTGGAAGTTTTAGCATTAAAAGAATGAATCTCATTCTTTTTTCTAAGCTCCATCACGAAAACTACAGCCAAAGTAAATTAGGTGTATACATTTTGAAGATAAATACAATAACATTCTGTTTTATATCAACTTCAATATGCCTTTGAGGGATTCGTGACAATTGGCAGAAAGCAGCACATTTGAGCGTTGACAGTGTTTATTCTGATAGATGTACTTGTATTAATAATTCATCAGATGCATCATTTGTACTGTAAAAATATTCATTCTCATATATACACACCTTTCTCTAAAGGTTTGGATATCATTGTAATCCATATAATTATCTTAACTAATATACCGGTTATCAAATAATATCATAAAACCAGCAGGTGAGTTCCTTCTGAAATATTGAATTCTGAAATTATTCCTTTATTATTTTGAAAATAAGATCAAATTCCTCAATTGGAAGATTAAAAAAAGGCAAGAGACACTTAATTTCTGTTTCTTTAGTATCTGTACAATTATATTTATGGAACTCTTTTTGGCCTTTAACTAATGATATGTTACAAAACGTCTGTAAGTATATATACAATTTTTTTTCTTAGCATATCTTCAACAACAGTAACTTAAAAACTTATTTAATATTTGGGCTTTAAATAAAACCAACACAGTTTGCCTTAAAATATATTTCTTTCTTCATTTTATAATTTTATCTACAAAAAATGATCAAATGACAGTGATATGACTTCCATTCTACTAACAAATAATGAAATGAAATGATTTATATATATATAAAAAAAAAATATTGCATTGGTCCATAACAATCAGTCGAAGAAAGAGTATTCCGTGTTCATCACCACCGAATACAAACGTGTAAAAGAAAAACAGAAAAAAAAAATAATAATTATATATCTCTATATATATTTCAAAATTAAGCACATTGAAATATATTTGAACATAATCTTTGCACCCAACCTTTTGAATATCAGTGTTTTATCATATAACTGAGGAGTCAAAAAGTACAATTAAACTCTTAGTCCTCAAACTCTTTCGTGAGAACAAGAGCAGATGATGGTCGTAAGATAACACTGCGAGAGCTTAATGTGAAGAATGCTGTGGACTTCATCATCCACACGACAAAGCCACTAATGTTTGGAAACACTAAATTATCTTAAAGTTCTCCAAAGTTGTACCTCTTACAAGTCTAAAAAGAAACGGGATTTCTTAATAGATAATCTTACAATAATCTTTAAGAAATATTCTTTAGTAACATAACAGCAAAGCAAACCCATACGGCATAATGAACATAAACCCCTTATTCCCTTCGTGGATGAGCAGGGCATCAGCTCGAGGCCCCACAACGACTGGTTCCAGCTGTTCACCCGACTATACTACATGAATGCACCACCCACACACACAGTGCAGCTTAAACAATGTTACCACAAGTCTGCAGAAGCCTGCCATCTCCCACCAGCCTAAACCTCTCGAAAATATTAAATTAAAATTGTTTAGCTTCAATTGAATCTTACTATTGTAATGCTAGCACAGCCTCCAGTACACGTTGAAAGGGAAGATGGCTCTGTCCGTGCAACCTAGAGGACTCCAGGGACGGGGCTTCAGGGTAGTGGCAGCCTCTGCCGCCGTGGTAGGTCCCCCCACCCAGCACAGGGCCATTCAAAGAGATGCAACTTTAGCCATGAAGTCACACCCACCTGAGGCAAATCATCTCCTTATTATGCAAAAGAATGAATGCACCCTCAGTGCTTAAAGAAAACACCTCACTCCAACTCCAGATCGTCCCGCAGCCTCTTCTTCCCCTGACCGAGATTGACCACGACGGCCTGGGCCTTGTTGCCGTGCTGCCCTCCCGGGTCCGAGTAGTTGTTCGTCGCGTGCTCCACCATCGCGTCCACTATCCGTGCGGCCAGCTTCGTGCCCGAGCTGTCGTCGGGGGGGAACCCTCCGCCAGCGTCCACTTTTCCGTTCTGGGGTCCTATGTCGTCTAGAGGCGGAACATAGTAGTTGATTCCCTTGGAGTTGGTGCGCTGGCGCTTGGCCACTGGAGTGTAGTCGTGGTCAGTCAGGGCCAGAACCTGTGGGCTGTCCAGGTCAGCAGGGAGTTCATCATCAACACCTTCCAACACATCCAGAGCACCAGGTACGAGGCCGCCATTGCCAGCCTCCAGGAGACTGCGAGAATGACCTGTGAAGGAAAAGCAAATAACCAGTGAATATCAAAAATAACAGACATGACTTGCAGTAGATCACACGCACAAATAACCAATTTTAATGAAACATATACACTATCATAAAAAAATATAGATGTATATATATACACAAACTCACATGACCAACTCAATAATCAAGATAGCCAATATGAATAAAAATTCAGAAGAAAATAATAAAATAAAACAAGGGAATGACTATACGCACCTGCTGATGGCATCTTTGACGCAGGCAGTGACAGATCACTGTCGGACCCAGCGGCATCCTGTCTGACTGAGGGCACGATGAAGAGCGCTGCCGACAAAATCAGCATCATGAGTGCTGTGGAGGCGTTGACCTGTGAACGGCCGCTGTTTCCGCCGCCTGTCAGTACGCTCTGGAACCGTCTCATCTGCACCAGCAGGGACTCGTTCTGTGCCTCGAGGGTTCTGATGCGCTTCTGGAGCTGCTGGTTCTCCTCTGTGCAGGCCTTCACTCTGGAAAGAGGTTAAGGGGAATGAGAGAGGCTCTTCCGCAGTCTTTCTGAGATACAGGTTGCAAACCTTGAGGGTTATTCAAACAGCTGCTTATAGCATCTTATCATTACTACTGCCATTATCATTTTCTTCACTTGTCCTATTGCATAACCAATTCAACATTAGATAGTAACTGCTACACATTTAATCATTTAAGTGATGACAAAGAAGATACATACCTGTCTTCCAGTCCATCAATGTATTCTTTCTTGCGTTTCCTGGAATCCTGAGCGGAGATCTTGTTTCTGATCTTGCGCCTGATGCGTTTCAACTCTCTCTCCTCCTGCTTGGTCAGTGGGTAGTGTGAAGGCAACTGGATCCCTTCCTTTTTCAAAAGGCGCTTCTCTTCATCTGCGAAAGGAAAGAGGAAATCTGTCAGCAAGAGGCGTTTTTATATTTCTTTAAAAAATCTTAAGCAAACGCAAAACTAATAAAAGAAGATAACTAATTGCTTTATAAATATGCATTAATTTTTTCATTTTTACCAAGCACCTGTAATGATTCAGAACATCATGTTCTTAAAAAAAATCATATCATCATAACTACAGCACCATATTCTTAAAATGTATGCATCTTCATTTTTCAAATACTACATTTCTAAACATGAGCATATAAAAAATATTCCAAATATATCTGTTCTACATTTAAGTATTTGCTTGACTGAGAGATAACCAATTTATTTGCAGTATCATGTGCAATAAAAATTGAGCCTCTGGGTAATACAGCTTAAAAAAGACAAAATAATAATAAAGATGCTAATAACAAATAGAAAACAATAATAATAATAAACTAATAAAATAATAAATAAAACTGCAAAAACAAGAAACAAAAGCAATAATAATAAAGAAAATCCCCATAATAACCAACAAAAACCAAATTCTTTATTCCTTTATTCCTCATTCATCTGATATTCCTTTTTTTTTTCTCTTCTTCTTATCTTTACTTTATCTATTAGTCAGCCAAGAGCCACACCTCTGTAACTCTCCACCTTCATAAATCGTCTCACACTTTGGGTCCTTAAACTCCGGGGGATTAAAAGGCATTTATAGCACCTGGTGGGGGTAATTGGGCATTTACACCTGGGGAGGAAGGGTCATATTACTGGCAATTTTGATTTAATGGTCGATATTCCTGTTAATTCTGGGCTCAATGGTTTAATGGCACCTTATTAGGGTTGCCATAGGGTTGCCATATGTACTGTAATTCTGCTTCCCCTTTTGATTAGAACAGATGCTTACCATTATGGCACTGCAGCTGTACATCTATGGCTGCTTCTTTAACTTGTATGTATCTTTGTGAATGAAGTCTTTATTTGCGTAATTATTTTGGTTATTTTGCCAGAAGAGGAAGAAAAGATTTGTTGGGAGTTTATTGCTGTAATGTAGGAAAATCTTCCATGAAACTAAGGACTGCACATAATATGACCACAGTATATACACACACATATACATTTTTATATACAATGTAATATATCTCTGAGAGCCAAGATAAACACCAAAAGAAATTTCCTTCTAACAGTCCTTGCAATGCAATCAAAACACAGTCACACATCAAATACCAACCAATAAACACACACAAATACATAAACAACTCTATGAATAACCCAATAATCAAGTAAACAAGTAAACAAGGCCAGCGCATACCCTCTCTGCCTAATCATCAAATGCTCGCAAACCGGACACCCCCCAAAACAGGATGACGGCAGGTCTCGAACTTTCACCCAGCTAGTTCTCGAAAATCCTACAGGAAACATGATCATTCCAGGCCCAAGACTAGCCCGCCTCCTTGCCCACTTGCCCAACTACCTCCCTTTCCTAATTCGAGCTCCTGCCCCCTCCCCCCATGCCCTTACTCAACATGTCTTTTGATTTCTTTATCTGACTGTGGTCTTCTTTTTGTTCTTATGGTAGTGAGGGGAAAGGGGGAAGGGAGAAGGGAGAAGGGGGGAGGGAGAAGGGAGAAGGGGGGAGGGAGAAGGGAAAAAGGGGGAGGGGAATGGAGAAACAGAAAGAGGGGGGAGGGGAAGGAAGGGAAAAAAGGGGGAAAGGGAAAAG